ACTGGCGACTTGGTAGTACAACTTGAGTACGCGGAGTATCTGGGGAGTTGGAAGATGAGAACTGGCGACTTGGTAGTAGAACTTTAGTACGCGGAGCAATCTGTGGAGCTGGAAGATGAGAACTGGCGACTTTGTAGTACAACTTTAGTACGCTTCATTCCAGCTTGCTTTTTTCAGTGAGATTTCCTGGAGGCGTGCACGCTGCTTCTCCCCTTACCACCAGCCCAAATGCTCACGACGATGAGCTGGGCTGTCACCGCTTGGCCGCCGGTGGGGGGTTTGGGAGGCCTGCGCGCTAATTCGTTCACTATATGTACAGTGAAGACCTTCACCAGCAGCAGACATGGACATACACACACAAACAGGGACTCATACACACACACACACACACACATCACACACAGAGACCCACGCACTGCCTCAACTTACTCGGACACACACACAGACAGAGACTCATATACACACGGACATAGATACACACACAGAGACCCACACACTACCTCAACTCACTCGACTTAACACTTCACACTGCACACTTAACAGATAACTCGCACTCTGACTTCCTACGTGATGAAAAATGCTTTCAGGCCACTCGTCGTCGAGTGTTAAAAGAGTAGTGTAAAGCGACATTGCAAGGAACTTCTCTTACAGTCTCTGACTTGTTCTACGGGTTCGACGATATTGCACGCAGTAGTGTCGCGCAATTGGGTTCAACGGGTTGGTTCCAGCGAGTCCTCACCGGGTGAGTCAGGCCCAGAGGTTTCCCCTTCTCAACCTGCTCCGCTACCAGTTTGAAACTCAGAGCAATCCTTTTTCAGCGCGCCAACTAGCTCAAGGCGCCTGATCCAAGCCGAAACGGCCATACGGTATGTTTACTGTACAACAGACCCTGGTAGAAACAGCTCAGAATCACATTGGTGTGCCCACGTGCAATATGAACTCCAACGCTGCCCTGCCTGGAAAGGATCCAAATGGGCCCACTTGTTTTTTGCCTAACAGAAGATATTGCATCCGCGCTCTTACAGTAGCCGTTCGCGCTCTCTCGATTGTAGCCTTGACATTGCCTGCAGCCACCTCATGGCTGAGATAAAACCGAGCTGGAATCAAGTCCTGAAAATCTCATACCGTGAAAGGGACGGCTCGTCTACTGGGTCCAACATCTTGTAAGTTGTAGCGCTGAGGATTTTAAAGAGTTTCATTCATTTGTGAAGTGTGGAACTCGGTCCAAATAGTGGTTGATTCGTTGGCATCGCAGGCGGGTTTCTTCAAGCAATGCGTCACCTGAGCATTCCAAGCTTTTTGGGTGTCAGTTTCATAATCCTCAAAAATCAAATGCTGAGGTATCTGACCATGCTTCTCTGGCCTTAGGCAATGCCCAAACAACCATTGATGCAATGTCAAACGATACAAAAAACCGTCTTCGGCGAAAGGCCAATGGATTGACACAGGAGAGCGCACAACAACCACAGTATGTTGGGCAGCGCTCACTGAGGGATCAGCTGTGGTGACATTGCTATCCTCTCCCCTTTGGGGGACGTTCAAATGCATAGAACAATTACTGTATGCAACCCTGGTGACAGTCTGCTTAGCCCACTTCAAGGCATTCCATGTCTCCGAACCCGGTTTGAGTTGAACTGCCGGCTAAGAGGTTACATTAAAATCCCGTCAAGAAAGAAAACGTCCTTCAAATGCTCACCAAACAAACCCGCTTAAATATCCCAACAATTTGTGCCAGAACCACCTCTAGACTCTATACTATAAATATGTATATATATAATATTCTGTATATATATATTCTATATATGTTTGGAGCACATGTTTGACTTGAAGTTCTCAGGAAGCCCACCAAAGTTGTTCTGTTTTGAGCACAAGCAAAGGCTGCAAAGATCTTGTTGCGCTGCGTTGTCAGTTTTTCTGGTGCTTTGAAATTCTACTGTGTCAGCGGAGAGTTCAATCCATCTGAGTTCAGTTTTGGGGCAACAGTGAACAAATGAACAATTGGACTGGCGCCTAGTTTGGTCAAAAGCAACATTCCAGTAAAACGCTGACTCCTCCACATGGCTAAAGACGCATGGAAATATTCAAAGTGATTTTGCAGCAATCATCCAGTCTGAACACCAATGGTAGGACAAATAATTACAACCGACCTTGTGCAACACCGACCTTGTTCAACCAACCACCATGTCGATCAACATGTCCCTTTTCCATTTGTTGGTCCTGGGATGTCCTGGACGAAAAAGTTGAAACATGCGCTGTACAGCTCTCAAACATTCTGCCTTCCTACAATCAGTCATGCAGAAAGCAACCTGCAGGTGAAGGCGTTCGACTTCTTCAAAACATGTCAAAACCAAGGAATTATTGCGTCGGCGAGAAGGAAAGCAGGTCAAGCACGAACGGCCATGGAGGGTTTGAGTATGGCCAAGCTGTTGCACGATATGGCTGCGCGCTGCCTCAAGCTAAAGCTTCAGAAGCCATTGCGTGTTCGAAGTTCATGGCGACCGTGGAAATGGATGGTATGGTAAAGGGTAGTCACAGAGGTGTCATTTTCTCCCAAGTTCAAGGGTTGGTCGAGCAAAGCCATACAGAGGCCATCAAGCACCATTAAGAGCCTTTAATCGAAGTGGGTGGAGCTGTGCTTCAAAGGTGTTCATTCAGAGTCAGAAGCGGGCTCACTTTCACCTTGCCAAGCTACAAAGACCAGTCATGCCATTTTTCCTGTCATTGATTCACGCGGGGACATACCAAGACATGGAGGTGGCGATGTTGGCACTCACAAATTGACAAACATTGTGTCTCAAGGCGTGCACTTGTGAGTATCTGCACTTGCTTTGAACATGTCAGGGTCCTTTATTCACTTAGCGGAGAGAATGGTAAACAACATGAACTACTAAACAAACTGTATTGGCCATAGTCGAGTTTCAAAATATTTCAACTATTCTTGAATCATCAGCTGAGCTTGCAGGTATCTGCCAAAGTTTTCCACGTGCACAAGCAGATCGCAGGCCGGCCAAGCACTGCTTGTGCTTCGGGGAGAGGTGTGAGGCGGTTGTGCAACTTGCTTGGCGGCACGTGGGCGCAAGTGCATCAGTACTCACTGTACTCTCAAACAAGTATGTTCGCTTCAAACAACCTAACCTTCGAGTATGTTGCCAGTTGACAGTCAGCAGTGACCACCGGAGCAGCCTGGCCCTGATGACATCATAAGCTGTCTGCTTGGAGCGGCCTCAATCCAAGCATGGAAGCTTCAGTTCGTTTCGGCAGAGTGATGTGGCCACCGCATCCGTGGTCATTGCACCACAGCTTGCATGGCGATGCATGCCACGCAATACAAGAACATGCTGTGAGTTCAAGGTGCCTTAAGCAGCAAACTTGCGCAAGCATTTAAACTTAAACACTTCTTTGTCCAGAAGGCTTCTGCCAAAACCAACTGGCCCTGTGAAACAGCAAAGACCTGTCTAAAAGAAACATTGAGAAATTCTCGGAGACCACTTTCTCTCTGATTCTTCTCAAGGAGCGCTGACTTCGGACGACAAAAGGGCTATGCGTGGCAAGAATACAAGACCTCAAAGAACTCCCAGCATTGTATATCAAAGCCCTATAGCTCAGAGCCGGGCCGCCATCCTCAGAGTCATGGTGGCCCAAGTTCCCAATGGTGGTATACAGTATACAAGGGTCCAATCAATTGGCATACTCAGGATCACCCCTGACAAAACAATTGGCATATTGCCGATCTTTAGCTTGTGGGTTGACATGCATGAGGGCACTCATCAGCTCCTGTTCAGCTCCTGTTCGACTCCAAATGCACACCACAGTGGTGCCTTGATGTTGAACATTCAAGCGCCTTACACACACGCTGAGGTAGACAACCTGTTGCATGGTCGCACATGCAATGGAACAGGGATCACACCAGGCGAGAGTTTGTCGCATCATTGCCGCCAAATGCACGTTGCAGTGAATCTTGAAGCTCCGCCCTTATAACTTCTCCATTTGCCAATTTTTGCCACCAAAAAGGCCCGCGTCTCGCCAAAGACTACGCAGAGTCCAGACCTTGTAAGGTACTAGACTATTGTTGGGCCACCATTTGGTTGACCCGCTGGGCCTTTTGGAAACTTTGTCTTCAACATGGAACACAATAAAAGTGAACAACCTTGTCTTGACCGCAAGCTGGACTTTGCCAACGGCTAAAGTATCTGACTATCCTCTATAAGTGGATCCACTATTTTCGCTCGGCAAAGTAAACTCTCTACGACTCTACTACGACAGCTAAGAAGAGCTTGAACGCGGTTCATCAAAAACATTGTGGCGCGAGCACATGCATTGCTGGGACTTGCGAATTGATTCATGTCCATCTTTGCAAAGGATTCATCACTTGTCAAATTGCGCACAAAGATGCAAAAGGAAGATATGACCGAAACTGCGCAGGAGGGCGAAAGAAACAGTCTTCCGAGGGGTTGCTGTAGGTTGCATCCTGGGAAAGAATTTCATCTGTTAAGTTGCCAAATTCGGTTCGCACGCTTGGTCTGACACCGCTTCGAGCACGCAGGTAAATTGCATTGCAACTCATGAACTGTAAACCTGAGCTGTTCTGTGACAAGGAAACAAGTCTTAGCAGGTGGGCTGACTGACTGTCCTCTCATCCATCCTATCTCCTGTGTGTCACCTCTGCTCTGAGTAGAGCTGAAGCCAAATGGAGAGAGGAAAAGCATAGGCACTGTGTCACGCGTTTAGCCAAGCAAGTCGCATTGTTGCACGTTGCAAGATCTCCTGAAGCTCATCAGCTTTGCAACGCGTTCTCTTCGAAGCCTTCAACAAGTGCAAGACAAATGCTGCAGCAAAAATCCTGGCGGGTTTTTTTTGGGGATTGCAGGTACTATGTTCTGGGATTGCCTATCAAGTGATTGTTTTCTGCCTGGCAAACATTGAGGAAAGTGCAAACCCGGAACCCACCTCTCAATTGAAAAAAAATGATTCCACACCTTGGAGACAAAATGCACGGCTCTCTATGCTTGGATCTGGAGCGTACAAGCTTGTTCCGCACACGCGTCACTAGCGAGTGATTGAAATGGCTAGTGCACTTCGCATCAATTTGGAGATGGAAAGATAAAGCTGACCGAAATTTGACGACCTCTATGCGAAAGCTAAGGCAAGTGTGTAGAGCTGCCGGGACGGGCGCCCATTCAAGACATATTAGCCGCAGCAAAGGCACGCTTCCACAAACTATGTGGAGTGCCTTTGCAACCCTCTGCGACCCACCGTGCCCTGTGCAATTGACACGATAATTCAATAATTATTGCCGCCTAAGATGCATTTAACTTATCAATTTAGTAATTCTGCCTTGACACGAAATCTTAGGCCGAAGAACCTACTCACGGCAAAGCTGAACGGAAAGTCCCGGCTGACCAAAAGATGCGTTCCCTCTCTGGTAATATTGATGGCCTTCCCCTGGAAAGCATGCAAAACTAGCGGCTCAACGCTTCCCAGTCGAACTCCGAGTTAAAACCACAGCGTTATCAGTTATCAGTGTTATCTTTCTTCTCCAATGAAAAAACACTGTGCCTCCTGCTCCATAGCTCCTTTTCCGAATGAAAAACAGAGCCATTCGCCACAGCTTCAGCAATCCTGTCACCGTTGTGTCAGGGTGAACGTTGAAAGTTTCGTCTCTTCAGGCTTCTTCTTTTCCACAAGAGATCATGTCATACACCAAATCCTGATGAATAACTATAGCATTGGCAGGGCATTTGTTTTGTTCTCGGACTGGTCTGTTTTCACAAACATATTGCAGTACATTATACCACATTATACGATGCGATGAGAGACCTTCATGCGGGACCCCTACGTACCTGCATACACCGTTACCTTGAAAAGAAAGGTCCCCAGATCATCCCGATAATCCTTAGTTTATGTAGAAAATTCGAGGCAATCGGAAATGGTCCTGGCTTTGAAAAGCGTCCAAACAGGAAGACAGCGGCAAACATCTACACAACACGCATACGCAAGCTTGTGCGGAGCCCCCAAAACAATGGCATTACATATCTTCGGATTTGGCGCGGCTTATGCCGACATGGTTTAATCATCTACATGTTTTACATGTTTGTTCATAGAGGCTTTGGGCACTGCACAAGAGTTGCTGACTCGTGAGCATGTGCCCATGAACCGCAAGGGTGCAGGACACATGCTGGTACTCTGGGCTTTTGTTCGTCTTCCGGAAGATGGATCCATTGTGGTGGCAATGGAAGCGAAAAAGACTTGCCGCATGCAACTTACACCAGGCAGAAGCCGCACATTCCAACAAGCACTGACTAGAAATTAAGTTCATGAGGCTGGCGTGCAATCTTTGTAGCTTCTGAAAGCAAATCAACAAAGATCTTTCCTCAACTGTTCTCAAACCTAACCACAGCTTTTGCGCTTGCCCAGCGCGCCTTCACTCACAACAAACCCTGTGTGTGTGTGTGTGCGTGCGTGCGTGTGTGTGTGTGTGTGTGTGTGCGTGTGGGGTGTGTGTGTGTGTGAATACTCTTCGCTTGAGACAGGTTGATTGGAGTCCAGCTAGCAGCCCATGCTACATTCATGAACTGGTATATTGCACTTGCTCCAATCACAAAAAAGTTGTTCCTAAAG